GTTATCCAAGCTTTTTTTCAGTCCAAAAACCTCAAGAAAATGATCTGGTCCTTCACTGAGAAGTCCCAGGTCATTCAAAACCAAAGGAATAAGCACCCTCACTTCTCCACCAGATTGTCCATGTTCTCAAATCCTTGCCTTCTGGGATTTGCTATTGGTTTATAGCAACCTATAACGTTGCTCTCACCCTAACGTTCTTTCTTTCCCCTTCACTGGTTTCTCGCTCTTGACTAAATCCAGCCCAGCTACCCCTTAATTTAAGAAGAATCTCTCCCAAGCTGCTTCCTTCTCAGGCTACCATTAGATCACTCAGCTTCCCCTCACTGCATAACGTTCTTGAAAGAGTCCTCTATACTTTCCACCTCCACTTCCTTCCACCCACTCACTCGTTAATCCCTTGCAATCTGGCCTCCACCCCTGCTCCCCTCTCATAGGTTGCCAGGGAGTGTCCAACTGCCAAGTGCAACAGCCTTGGCTCAGTCCTCACACTACCCCCGCCCTACTGTGTCTGACACCAGTGACCACACCTCTGTGGTATTTATGTATTTATACCCTGCTTGTTTCCAAAGAGGAGTTAATATGACTTATAGCAATATATATCATAGAGTAGGAGAGCATCGTTTATAAGTAGGGACCCCAAAAGGAGAGAGGTTAAAACCAAAATGCAAACCGAGGCTCTCAACTGGGGGCGATTCTGCCCCCCCCCCCCCGGGGGACACTTGACAATGTCTGAGCCATTTTTGGCTGTCACGACTGGGGAGTGCTGGGGGCATCTAGTGGGTAGAAGCCCAGATACCACTAAATATCCCAGAAGGCACAGGATAGCCCCCCACAACAAAGAATTGCCGTGCCCAAAATGTCAGTACTGTCAACGATGTGAAACTCTGCCATCAGTCCAATTACCTGTCCTCGGTTCTCTTTTTCTGACTTATTTAAATATTAGACATGGGTCAGAACCTCCTCCTTGAAGTGATCTCTTCTACTGTAAGTCATAACCCTGACACTGCTAGGCACCCTAATCCTACACTCTTGAGGACCCCATTCTTTCAACTTCCCCCTCTTTAAAAGGGCCTCCCATTAACCACCACCTAAGTGAAATAAACCCCTCCATGATATTCTTGGACTCCTGGTGTGGTACTATAGGATCAGCACTGGACTGCAAACCACATGGTTGGCAGTTCAAACCCACCAGCTGCTCCTCAGAAACCCTATATAGAACTGACTCAACAGCACTTAACAACAACAATGTTCTTTTTCTTTTCCTTTCTTTTTTTTTTTTTTTTTTACTTTGGCCCTTTGTCAAAGATCAGTTGGCTGTATGTGGATGGGTTAATTTCTGGATTCTCAATTCTTTTCCATTGATCAATGTATCTTTCTTTATACCAGTACCAGGCTGTTTTGACCACGGTAGCCATGTAGTAAATTTTGAAATCAGGGAGTGCGAGGCCTCCAACTTTGTTCTTCTTACACAGTGCTTTGCTTAACCTGGGTCTCTTTCCTTTCCATATAAAGCTTGTAATTTGTTTTTTCCATCTCTAAATAATGTCGTTGGAATGTGGATTGGGATTGCATTATATGTGTAGATTGCTTTGGGTAGTATTGACATTTTCACAATGTTAAGCCTTCCTATCCTCGAGCATGGTATATTCATGCATTTTTGTTAAGTCTCTTTTGGTTTCTTAAAGTAGTGTTTTGTGGTTTTCTTTGTGTATAGGTCCTTTGTTTCTTTGGTTACATTTATTCCTAAATATTTCATCCTTTGGGTGGCTATTGTAAATGGCATTGCTCTCCTAATTTCCTTTTCAGTGTTGTCATTATTAGTATAGAGGAATCCAGCTGATTTCTGTGTGTTGATCTTGTACCCTGACACTTTTGCTGAACCTTTCAACGAGGTCCAGTCAGGTTATTTTGCTGAGTCTTTGGGGTTTTCTATGTATAGGACCATATCATCTGCAAATAGAGAGAGTTTTACTTCCTCTTTGCTAATTTGGATGTCTTTAATTTCCCTAGCTTGCCTTATAGCTCTGGCTAAGACTTCCAAATTGAATACGAGTGGTGACAAAGGGCATCCTGTCTGGTTCCTATTTGCAAGGGGAAGGCTTTCAGTTTCTCTCTACTGAGAGTGATGTTGGCTGTTGGTTTTGTATATATGCACTTAATTATGTTGAGGAATTTCCCTTCAATTCCTACTTTGTTGAATGTTTTTATCAGGAATGGATGTTAGGTTTTGATAAATGTCTTTTCTGCATCAATCGATATGATCATGTGGCTCTTTTCCTTTTTCTTATTTAGAACAATGATATTCTTAAGACCACCATTGGTGTAGTGGTTAACCATTTGGTTGCTAACTGAAAAGTCAGTAGTTCAAATCCACCAGCCGTTCCTCAGTAGACAGATGAGGCTGTCTTAAGGAAGCCTTGGAAATTCTATGAGGCCGTTCATCTCTGTTCTACAGGGTTTCTGTAGGCAATGTGTTTGTTTTTACTTTTGCTTTATGATGTTCTTCCAAGAAGGACTGGGCTATGCCTCATAGAAAATTGGAACTAACTAATTAATGAATCATATGGCTACATGTTTGATGTGTAGACCAGAAACTCCATGAGGACCGATGTCTCTGTCTTATGCACTGCTCTTTTCCAGAGCTATCACAGTACCTGGCACAAAGTAAACTCCCAAAAAATGAGTTGAGTCGCTTGAGTTGAGTAAAATTGAGTTGACTTGAGTAAAATTCAATGCATGCTGCTGAAAGTATTTGATTCTCTTTGGATTTAGAGACTTCTCTTTAAAGAAGCTGAGTGCAAATCCATTTTCCCTTAGCTAGATAAGGAGATAGTTTTGCCTTCACAATGACTAGTCCTTTGTTGAGCAGGTTTTTTCCAAATTATTTGTCAATCCATTGTGTCTTCCTAGTGTTTCCTATTTCAAAATGACCTCCGAGACCAATTTGCTTTTAAATCACTGTACTTCACACAATCATGTTATCTGCTGATTTTCTTATTTATAGATTAGAAAGAAAGCATTTGCACAAAAGCTCCTGTTGGAATTGCTAGGACATGAGCAAAGGATCCTGGTTGCTCCCTCGGTGACTGGTAACTTCAGCAACACCTCAAAACAGCACCAGCAAAAAACTCTGACATTTCTTTGGCATCTTCCCTCCAGAAGATTCCTAGAACCCCCTACAGACTCTCCGAGAAGATACAAGAAGGGTCCTCAGTGGGTGCCCCCCTTCCTCTTCAGTGACTCCTAGACACCATGCCACACTGGAATGCCAACATCAACATATACAGAAGAGTGGAACTTTAACCCACTGGAAACTACTGGGCAATTTAAGGGATAAGATCCTATCTGCCTTCATCGGTAACAGGCCTGCACTCCAAGGCCTAAGTTCAAGTGAAGATCTTGTCCTCTGAGTGACCACATGTGGTCATTGGCCTCAATTTTCCAGAGACCAGAATGCGGAGATAACCTAAGAGTCACATGTGCAGATTCTTTGGGGAAAATGAAAAACATTTTAGACAATGGATATTTCCAACGTTTCTCAAAGAGATAGGTTCTGGTCTAATAGCAGCAGTAGCAGCTGCAACACACATTAATCAAGCACTTACTATGCACAAACCCTAAGCAAAACACTCTAAAGGCATTATGTCATCTAAACCCCAAAACCCACTGCCATCAAGTCCATTCCAACTCACAGTAACCCCACACAGGGTTTCTGAGTCTGTAAATCTTTATGGGAGCAGAAAGCATCTCTCTCCCACTGAGTGGCTGGTGGTACAGTGTGCCGTAGAGTCGGTTCCGACTCACAGCAACCCTGCGTAGGGTTTCCAAGACTGTGTATCTTTATGGGAGCAGAAAGCCTCACCTGTCTCCCACGGCATGACTGGTAGTTTCTAACTGAAACTGATAACCTGGCTCTTAACCACTACGCTCGCGATCAGTGCTCCTTTGCTGAGTGGTTGGTGGGTTACAATACTGACCTTGTGTTTACCAGTCCAGTGCTTATCCTACAGTACCACCAGGGCTCCTTTATTATCTCCTCTAGTCCTGACAAACATTCTACTTGAGAAGTACCATTGGAGGCTTCTTGCTGTTGTTTTTAATGCCATTGGGTCAGTTCCAACTTATAGTGACCCTGTATAGGGTTTCCAAGTGCAGCTGGTGAGCTTGAACTTGGGGTTCAAACCAACCTTGCGGTCCAGTGCATTAATCCACAGCACCAGGCTAAAGGTAGTTTAATTCAGCACAACAGGCCAACTTTCCTTCTTAAAGTTCAGACAAATGAGAAAACTATAGGCTCTAGAATAATTACGTTGTTGCTGTTAGCTGACAAGGAGTCAGCCGGTGACTTATGGAAACACCGTACACAGTGACACGAGACCTTGGGTTTTCATAGGGTGATTTCTGGGGGTAAAATGCCAGGACTGTCTTCTTAGTTCATTTGTCTGGAAGCTCACTGAGACCTGTTCAGAAGCAGACAGACAGACTTCCACTTATAGACAGATGGTAGCTGCACATGAGGACGTGGAGCCTGGCTCTCCCACATGGAAGAAGCAAATCCACCACCTAGCCACTCTCCCAAAAGTTACAGGGCAGGAGAGCTATATTACTCAAAGAGGAAAACAAACAGAATAAAACAAATCCCTCTATGCCAGTAGAAGATTTCACCAACGATTCAGAGGGTCAGTATTCAAAGTGGTCCCCGTAAGCCTCTTTCCTCCATTCTGAAACATCAGTCCTGCTCAGCTGGTGAGCAGCACAGAAGCTAGAGATGGAAATGGCCACACCAGCTGTATTTGAATGGCTGGGGCAAAAGTGGCTCAAATTCTTCAAAAAGGTAAAATCATCATAATAAAGAAGCTAGTTATGATTATGAAGATGGTGGTGAAGGATCGTCTTGCTAAAGAAGAACCACCCAGAGGAAGCAGGATTGTAAGGTGAGGGCTGCTTCCAGGAAGGGGGGCGGGGAGCTGCCAGTCAAAACCAGGGATAATCACACTCACCTGGGAGCAGCCTGGGGCACTGCAGACAAAGGGCCTGTCCTGCTCCAAATTCATCTTGGATTCCTCATAAATCTGAAGGGTCAGGAGAAGAGGGAGGAAGGAAAACAGAAATGCATGAATATCTCCTGCTTCTACCTGAGGAATGGAGAAAGGTATTTGCTTGGCATCCCTTTCTTCCCCCAATTCTGAAATTTGGTGAGGAAAACAAAGTCAATCAATACTCAAGATCCTGCCTTGTAGAAGTCCACAGACTTCCAGCAGTCTGAGTTCCTATTGTGCTTTCTGGAGTGCATGTGGACTTGGAGGCAGAAAAATACCTTGAGGCTGTTGCAGCAGAAAACCAGCAGGTAGGTGTCATTACCAATTAAGACACCCACCCGCACCCCCACTCCACACACATACCCGCCCAATCTTTCATCCGTGCAGGAAGATTCTGAGACAACATGTGTACTGGTTTCACTGGGTCCTGCTGAAAGCCTTGGAGTTGGTTACTTTAGACAGCAGGAGGTGGAGGCATGACTAGCGAGCCATCCGTGTGAGGACCAACCCAGAGGGAGATGTCAAACGTAGCACCCCAGTAACTCCAGTGTTATCAAATGATTCTGGTGACTATCCCTGTGATTCGAAATTCCCACTCATCTCTGACATTTCATGAGGCCTCAGCAAAAGTTATCCCAAGTATTTGAGAATCAGTATAAAGCAGAAAGTACAAAAAAACACGCATTATCCTGATAATTTCCTGACATTGGTTTTACCAGCGGATTTGAAATGAATGTTAAAATTGACTGCTGTTACAGATAAGTTATCTGGAATAGAGTAGCTATGCAGTGAAAGAAACAACTTGCAAGTAATAGTATAGTCATTTCTTATGTAGGTGTTAAATCCTAAAGTGAGGACATTAGGCAAAAATTGAGTGTAGTCAAATTTTCCTTAGCAAATCCTGCCAAAAACTGATAGAAATACAGTTTTGTGGTTACCAATCTATACAGTAGCATGTTGTTGTTAAGTGCCATTGAGTCAGTTCCAACTCGTAACTACCCTGTATAGGGTTTCCAAGGCTTTTAAATCTTTGCTGGAACAGAAAGCCTCATCTTTCGCCCATGGAGCAACTGGTGGAGTTCCAACTGCCCACCTTGTGGTTCGCAGTCCAGTATTTAATGTAAACTTTTGTTACACAATTTAAATCAGTTTCTAAAGCACACTTTTCTCTTCGTCAGTTTGTAGGGTTGAATTGATAGAACTTAAATATGTTGCTGATGGGCCCTGACTATATGACTGAACTAAAACCGGCTGTTTTTCCTCTGAGCACAGAAAACAGTAATGCTACGTGGATTCCTGTGCAGCGCTGTAGGATCAGCACTGAACTGCAAACCACAAGGTCGGCAGTTCAAACCCACCAGCTGCTCCTAAGAAACCCTAGACAGGGTTTGAGTTGGAACCTACTTGAAGGCACTTAACAACAACAAGCTGGATTCCACAAGGGACTCAAGTCATCTGGACCCCCCAAAGAGAGTAACCGGCTTCAACTTTTAGAGCAGTGGCATTCTGTCTGAAGGAAGCCTTGTTATCTTTTAGCCAAAATCCATTCTAGTTTGCACATCTTTCCCTCAAAATATGGATGCATATCACATATATTTTGGGCTCACATTGATGCATACTTGCATGTTTCTGAAACAAGAAGTGGAAATACTTGCCTTAGCCAATATGGCCAGTTAAGTATTAAAAAACCAAAACTTTTTTTTTTTTTTTTTTTTAAGTAAATGCACTTCACAACACTATTGCTCATACAAGTTTCTTCTCACTCTGAATTTACACTGAGTTTCCACTGAACACCTCATACAGTCACTTAGAATAATTTTACAGCTTTCCTGTATCAAGAATATTGCTGAAGCTCTATTACTGTATTATATTTAGAAGAAGGTATTTCCACTCTTTTTCCACTGCCCTTTTACTGTCACCACAAAGTATCCTTCCTTCTCTCTGTGAATATTGGCAACTTACTTCTGAGTATCAAAATAGAGGTGACTTTAATGCTGAGAAAGTGATTTTGATCCAAGATAAAATAAACAGCAGAACAATTGGGTTATCCATTCATTAAATATGCCTTGTTTTTCTAGTAAAATGTTTGTCAGTGCTTTCCTAGAACTTCTCTGCCTCTGTGGGTATGATCTGAGTGACCACTGCCTGATTGTTTCATTGCTTCAGTCCTCAATTCTCCCCTCCTTTACAAGAGGATTAGGGACTTCACTCACTTAAGTTTCCTCAACATGTACATTATACTGACTGATCAGTTAGGGTGCCTGAAAGATATTGTCAAGAGAGGACCAAGATTTGCTTGTGTTTGGGATGGGATACACACTGGACTGCTCACCACCAGGTCAGTAGTTTAAACCTGCAAGATGCTCCTCAGGAACCCTATACAGGGTCACTATGAGCCGGCACCAACTTGACAGTACTTATCAAAACATTTATAAAAGAGAACTTCCTATTAAGTGAATATTTCTTGAACTTTCTTTAACTTTAGTTGCTAAAGTAATGAAAGAACGCCACTCTTACTAACCAATATTAAGATTACATGACAGTAAAATTGGAAAGTTTCATACTTATGTGTCTCTGGTCTACTTCTGAGAGTAGCAATTAATGATAATAATTAGAGAAATGTTCAATCAACAGAAGTAGTCAAGATGAGAATTCCTACTGCTGAAGGTTAAAAGAGATTGATGAATGAGTCAAAGTGAGCAGAGATTGATCAAGCCCTAGTTTGCAAATCTGAAGAGAAAGTTATTTTCTACCGTAATCATAACTATTTCAAACCTAGTCCATCAAAATGCTGACTGCTCCCATAAACACATGACACTAATGACAATGGATTAGCAGCTCTGTAGGATATCCATGGAAGCAAGCTATCTTATCTTTAGTGTTAATTACACTTTGCATGAGAGTTTCAAGAAATAACATGGAATTCGATTACGATGCAGATGTTTGGAGATAGAACAAGGTTATATCTCACAGATTTACTCTGTTTTTGTCAGTCTTCATGGTGTGGATTTTTTTTTATTTACTGCAATATGAATGATCTAATTTGATAGACATCAGTCACAGAATTTGTGCCTCAGAAGACATGATATGAGAAATACAGAGACTGCCCTCAACTAGTTTGAGTTCGGTCATCAGTACATTGTGCTGAGTTACTATTGCCATTCTATTCTTTTATTTTTTAAGCACAAGTGAATCAGTTTATTACACTCCATAGACCCCATTCTATTGCAACTCATAGGCTGGCTTTCACCTCCTGAATTCTGAAAGCATATCACCAGGCTCTTTTTCCTATTCTGTCTTAATCGGCATGCTCTACTGAAACCTGTCCACCTTGGGTAATCCTGCTGGTATTAGAACTATCAACAACATTGCTTTCAGTATCATAGCAGCATGCAATGATACTCACACATCTCTCAGTACAACAAACTGAGAGGTGTGTGGCAAAAAACGTGATACATCTGAACTGTGGGGTTGGCAAACAACATCGAGTGGATTGTCACAAAAAGGAGCAAATCAATCTTAGAAGAGATACAACCAGAATGTTCATTAGATGTAAGGAGGCCCAAGACTTCAACTCATTTACTCTGGACATGTCATCAATGGGGAAGACTAATTGCTAAAAAGGACATCATGTTTATTAAAGCAGCAACTTAGTGAAAATGAAGGGAACCCTCAATAAAATGGATCGACACATTAGCTGCAACAATGGATTCAAAACATACCAGCAATCATGAAGATGGTACAGGAACCAAGAGACCTTTTGTTCTCTTATACACGAGGTCACTACGAGTCAGAGGTGAAGTCAATAGCAACTTACAATAACACAGGCCACACAGACCAAATAGATATTGACAATAGAATGTTAGAATAAAAGTCCTCACGTAACTAGCAGTTGCAGAAATAAAAGAAGTTGTATGTTATTAATAAAGTCTGGTATTACCAAGGTGTGTATATGACTGTATGAACCATAACTGCTTTAGTTTGATGCTCTGCAGTTCCCATATTATCCCTCTGTAAACAACATGTGTTTGCTCATTCCTTTCTGTGTAGGTGTTTGCGATAGTTTTACTAAACGCTACCACTCTACCATGCAGGCTTCATTACTTTTATCAACTAGCATGATCTGGTCTGATGAATTAGTTGAGAGCCATGGTCTATTTTTATGGTCTATTATGATGATTCTTTTCCAGCACATATTGTAATAATTATTCTCTCCAACAGACTCCCACTAAAGCCCTGCATGTATTCTTTTATCATCCATCTGGTGGGGGCTAATTACTCAGACATGATTTTACCAGGTTGCACTGCACTCGGGCCGCAGAAGTCGGACCTCATCCTCTCATTTCCCACTCAGTTGTTTTACTGGCTGGTATTTTTTAATGAACCAATTTTTGCTTGGCAATCACCATACCCCAAACTTCACGGCATAGTGGTTACATAATAGGCATTCAATAAATATTTGTGGAATGAGTAATGAATCCTAAATCATCACAATGTTGTTGTTAGTTGCCATCATTGATTCTGAGTTGGGCAGAGTTGAACCACTCCATAAGACTTTCAGGGCTGTGTGCAACCTACAAAAGACCACCCCAAACATCTTGTCTTTTCTCTACTCCTAACGCAATGCTTCTCAAGCTTTTGATTGAGCACCAAGTTTTCAGCAGGACAACACATTGTGTAGGTCTCTTACCCCACATATTTTCAATCAGCTTTAGAGAAGAAATCTCACCAGATTTTTAAAATCTAAGCTGCTCTTGGTGAAAAGAAGGGAAGCTCATTTTTATAAAATTTCACATGTCACTGTATCAGTTCATTATGAAATTCAGCATGTTAAAATTACATAGATATGGAAACCATGAAAGTACAGTCTACTAGCCATTTTGTTGTTGTTAAGTGCTGTTGAGTCAACTCCGACTCATAGCGACCCCATATAGGGTTTCCAAGGAATGGCTGGTGAGTTTGAACCGCTGACTTTGCGGTTCAAACAGACCTTGAGGTCGAGTGCTTATCCTACAGTGCCACAGCTATCAAGC